TTTTTCTTCTTCTTCTCTTTCCAAAAATTAAATGGCTTGCATTCTTTTGGTGGGGGATTTCATATAATTTATTAGAAATTTAATGTTATAATGTGAACTTTTTAGCTAATCACATCTCTATGATCTAGTTTTAGGTCCAGGAAAGGAAGCATTGCAGAATACTACAAACAGTTTTTTGAAGCAAAGGAACTTTCTAAGTCAACAGATCTAGGTTATTGAATGATTTTTAGTTTTTGTCTACGTGTTTTTTATGTTTTTTGATGGTTCTTCGGTGTAGATTTTTTCTCGAAATATCTTTTTATTTTATTTAGGGTTTAAAGGATGTCTTTGATATTATGTTTAGAATTTTTATATAATTAATTTAAATTTTTTTTATAGAATTTAACTAAGAGAGATTGATGTTCTATTATCATAAAATGATAATTTTGACTTTATAGAAAATTTTATGTTAAGTTAAATTATGTATTTTATTTAAATTATGTGGTAACTTATTAAAAAAATATTATAAAAATATCTTACTATATTTTAAATGTAGTCTTTTTTTTTATTTTTAGTTTATTGATTTGACACTTTTAAAAAGAACAATTCGGTACTAGATTTATTTGTGTTTGATTTAAACCTATTATAGTACTATTAATTATTATATTTGTAATATCTGGGCCCGAAAAATTGGCCCGGGATAAATTTTTTTAATTTAGATATGTATAAAAAATATATTTTATAAATTAATTTAATGAAATTTTTGTTACATTTGGAAAAAAATACTTAGGGATGAGATTGAAAACAATGTTGGAAAAAAAAAGTGAAAATTTGGGTTTAGATGATGTTTTTGAAAAAAAAATCAGAAACTGGGAGTCAGAATGCAAATAAAGAAAATTTGGCCACGTAGACCGCCCAGTCAGCAGTCTCGACGAATCAGAGACCGCTGCGTGGCAAAACACGCTGACTCACTGCCACGCCAGAGGCCACGCTGGCGATTCGCGTGCCCTGCGATCGGACGACCCAGAAGCAATCCCACGCGTGTGAACGGTTTGGATTTGTTTCTTCCTTAAACGCGATCGGACAGTCGAGATCAAACATGATGAACGGTTCATATTCATTTTCTCCTTAGGTGCGACTAAACGGTCGAGATCAAACGCGATAAACGGCTCAGATTAACGAGAGATTGGTATAAATATTTCACATTACACTGAACCTGAACTCTAATCGATAGCCTCCCATTAGAGAAGAAGAATCAGTCGCCGGAGAAGGGAGCCGACCACCAACCACTGCCACATCGGAGCCACCTTTGACCGTCAAAAAAGGTAAAAAATTTCTTACTCGTTCAGAATTCGATTTCAAGCACTCTTGTGGCCATATCAGAGCAAAACAAACGACGGGTGAGCTGGAAACCACAGGCAAAGCCCGGCAGAGCCACCGCCGGCAAAACCCACAACCTCCTCCGACGAGCTCATTTTTGTTTCTCGTTTCATGATATTTTTCCACCGTTATATTCACCGTTCTATTTTTTACAAGTTGACCGAAGAAAAAATATTAGCCACGAAGGTGAGCTGGTGGAGCCGTCGTACCCGGAAAATCCACCACCGGTTGGTTTTTGTTTTCTGATTTTTTTGGCTAATTGATACCCCCTAACGTATTTTTTCGTAAGGATATGTATAAAAGCAGCCGAAACCAGCCAAAATTGGCCGAAAACGGCCAAGCCGAGGTAAACCACCACCGCGGGTGGTGGAGCACGGTGGTGCTGCCGTGGCGGAACCCCAAAATTTTGCTAGAAAGGATTTTTAACATTGATTTTAGGTTTTTGAGGTATTTTTAGGTACGTGAAACGTGTTTTAATTTTCGCAGAGAAATTAAGGAAACTCGAGGACCGCCAGTAGGCGCAATAGAAAGTTTAGTGTTTCGGATACTGATTCGGGTAAAAATCTCTCACCCTATTCCTTGTTATGGAGTTGAAGCTTAATAATCAATAATATTGTATTTTGTGAAATTTAGAAATACTTTGAGAATAATTACAGGTCACTAATGGAGTCGTAACTGATTAGTTATTTATTTATCATGTTTAACTGATTATTTCAATTTATAGTTTTAAAATACATGATAATATATTAGAATGGTTAAATGATTTAGCTGTACTTTTTTAATATATATATTGTTTGTCTTTTGTGATTTACAGTTGATTTGTGAAATTTGAAATTAATATGCAAATGAAAAATTGCTTGGTTATGTGAATTAATGAATTGTTGTCTTACTAAACATCTTGAGAGATGGTGGATGAATCAGGTATATAAGGAACCCTACCATGAACGTTATCTCATACCGGACGAGGTATCGAGGGATAGTCTTTTTGGTGCTCATACCGGATGGGGTATAGGGACGGTCCGATTCACCCTCATACCGAACGAGGTATCGAGGGATGATATTTTTTCCGCTTATACCAGATAGGGTATGGGGATGGTCGATTAGTTGATAAGTTTAAATATTAAGTTCACACGTAATGGGGCACCCTTATAGACCCCCAAGGATACCAGTAAGTAAAATAAAAAGAAAAATTTGTTGTTTTTACTTACTTAAATATGAGATCATAATATTATTTGAATTATTGTCTCTATAGATCGATTTTAGAAATCTCACAATGGTAAATATGCAATAAATGATTTTTGTTATGATAAATTAATTTATTTAAATTAAGAGACCTATTAGTTATTTTTATTATTTTTACCAACCTTAGGTTTCTGTATCGGTGAGTAGTGTAATATTCTTATTGGGATAGTGTAGCTCATCCCCTCCCTTATTAACCATTTTAGATCAAGAAGACCAAGATCAGATCCTGATCAGCAGAAGGGGTGTGAGTAGGTGTCCCCTCAGATCTTATCAAGAGCTAGTGGAGGTTAACCTCCTTACAATATTTATTTACCATTTTCATATATTATTACGTTTTTTGTTTTATGAATCGTTGTGAAAGAAATATTTCTGTAGCGCTATTAGGCATGCTAATTTATGTGTAAGGAATGTAAATCCTAAAGTTATTATACGCTTCTGTATTTAATTTATGACCTTATTTCTATTTAAGTTTCAGGTCTTCATAATATTTGATATACTGATGTTAGTCGTAGTTTTTACATATTTAATGTATATTAAGTTGATTTTAATTATATTTTTTTAATTTTATATTGAAAGATTTTGTGTTTTTAAATATTAATTTAAGAATAAAAAATATATATATAATTTGAATTAAAGATAAAACTATAAATATCACATTTTCATCAACGGTAAGTCAAGCTAACCCTAACTTTATAATAATTGTTTAAAAAATATAATATCAAGAACAAAAATATTAAACTCACATTAAAAATTTAAGATGAACTACAAATCATTCTTATATTAAATCATTTTTTATGAGAAATAACTAATTGGAAAATGTACCAATTAAAGAAATAATAAATAACATAATAAATTTAGAAATTATAAAGTGAAGAACTTTTATCTAAAATTTTCAGTCACATGTTTGTGATTCAGTTCAATAGTTAAAAGTAAAATGATAAGTAAATAAATTTATATTACAACCATTCATATTATTATTCTTATAATTTTATTTAATTATAAATTTCAACTAATAAACTTATCTTTTAATTATATTAAACTCAATGATAAAAAGACATATACTTCATAATTTATACAACTAAAAAATAAATAAATAAAATTATTAACTATTTAAGAAAAGATAATATGCATATTTAATTTAAAAATCTAAAAATCTTTAAAAATGCGACAAAGCACCTCTTATTAATAATTTTGTTGATGGATGGTATCTATATGCATGTATGCATGTCTACTCTTTTTTATTGAATTATTTTTAATAATAAATAAAAAATAAAATTTATTTTATTGTGTCCTTATAGTTAATAAACCTTATAATTTTTTCAATCCAAACAATAATAAGATAAGAGCAAATTATTATTTTTCACCTATTGATAACTACCCTAATTGCTTAAGAGAGACAGTAGGTTAATGGTGCAGAAGATAGTTTGGTGCAAATTTTTTTTCCTACTCCACTCGCGAGTTGTAAATAATTCGTGTTACTTGCCCTCACTATTTGGAACCTGAACAATTGAGTGACCCTGCTTTTGCCATATCATCCCTAACCCTGCCAATAGTGAGCGATTGTTGTCCTAAAATATCATGTCATATATTTATATGGTGTTCACCTCTAAGAAATCGTTAGATGTCCTTCCTTTCATATCAAAAATTCTTTTTTAGAACACTCCTCTCTCCATCTTCTTCCTACACGTAGTCAACAACCCTCTTCCGTACTGTCTCTTCATCTAGCATACAACTCCATGGTTAATTTCTATTTCCTTGTCGACATTAAAGCTCTCATTCTCCTCCCTGATAATTTTTATCTATCGACCTATAATGACCTTTCTATTTCAGTATTCTCTTTTTATTTTTTGCAGAGGCAGATACTCATTCACACTCAGCCAGCCAAGTTCAACAGCTTACTCGAATCAACGCCATCATTAACTTGCAATCTTCCTTTGGAGATTTTAAACTTATGATTTATTCAAGTTTGGTGGTTGTGGAAAAATTTCATGAATATTTAGTTGACATGTAAAGTTTTGCAAAAGTAAATAAATTAAAAAATCTTTTCATTTTTAAAAGTTGGTGATGGTACATTGAATAGTTTGAAACAAATTATACAATTAGTTTTTCGCTAAATATATAATGTTGAGATAAGTTTTGACTGATATGGAAGAGTAAATAGACAAATGAAAATTATTGAAAATATCCAAATGGGAATATATTTTCTTACTTGGCCTACTTATTTTAGTTGTAAGAAATTTTAATCCCAAAATTAAGTTAATTAGCATGGTAAGATTTTGGTACTTAATTATTCTGGACTGAAAATAAACTAGAATTTCGAGGGTAAAATCGTCCTAGTGACAAATTATCTTAGTTATCTAGGACTCTCTTTCTTTCTCTCTCTCTCTCTCTCTCGTTCACCATATGTTGTGTTTAGATGATGAACTATTAATGTACAGTATGATAATTCAACAGACCTGTCTTGTTTGGATCACTTTCAAACAAATGGTATGATTGATTTGCTGGTATTTAGTGATAAATTATTTTTTCATTTTTTTTCAAAATTTTCAAACTATTGATATGGTAATTTTTAATGGTTGGATGCTGACCTTACCGTTTTACCTTCACATTTATTTATTAATTCCCATTTTGCTCTTAAACCATTTTCTTCTACCCTGACTTGCTTATTCTTTCTTTACCGCAGCTTGTTTCTCCTCTTCTCGTCTGCTTTTGTTTCTTTCGCTTCCATATTCCGCTTCTGCTTGTTGCGATAGTCTCCACCGGTGTTAACTTGCTTCACCAAACACAGCGTCAATCAAGGCATGTGTTTAATAATGTATGATTGTTGACTTTACTTTTGTTGGTGACTTGGAAAAAAGAAGATCAATTACAGGCAATATAAGTGTCTAATTTACTCTTTTAAGTGGAATTTAGAGCTTCATTCCACGACAAACCATCTTTGAATCGGATGGTTGTAGCTCTCTGCTTTCTTTACAAGGGCTGGGGTTCGGGTCATGTGGCTCCTGTTTAGGTTTCTTTTTAGTAATTGGAATTCAGAGGTTCATTCCATGACAAACCATCTTTGAATTGGATGGTTGTACCTCTCTGCTTTCTTTACAATGGCTGACGCGTCCTTAGGGTTTAGTTTCTAAGCTCTTTGCTGTTTGGATTCAGGAAATGTACGGTCTTGCTTAAAAAATCCAAGTTCCTTCAGTATGATATGCCAAGGTTTTCTACGTATCTGGTTGTCATTTTGTTTAGAACACTTCTCTAGTTGCGAAAGTTGTGAAGGGTTAGCTTAATTCATGTCTTTCCATGGGTTCTCCAGCAATGCGGTTGTTCTGCTTCCCTTCCTGGTTACATGAAAACAATACTGATTGGCAACAGGACAGTTTCAATGTTTTAGAGTTATTCCAAAGATATCTGAATATCTTTTTACAAGGTATTATAGTTGCTTTTCTTTGAAGTTAGATTAAGTTGCAGCTGACTTGTTCTGAGTTCTTTTTTTGTTGTCTTTGCAGCCAATAGTTATTTGTATGGTTCGCTATTATGTTCTGGGCCATTCTCTAATTCAATCTGTGATATAATTTTTTGTTTCATTGCTGCTGATTTTTCTTTTCCTATTAGTGATAAAAATTTCTTGTCCAGTTATTATTTTCTTAATTCAATCATATAGAAGAGTTATTCATGCAATTCTTTTGTTGTATGTATTGGTCTTGAACAGCTTGCAAACTGCAAGCCCTCCAGCTTATCCCAGTGCTCATTTAGTTGGAAATGCTTTTGTTGATCAGTACTACCATATTCTTCACCACTCACCAGAATTGGTTTATAGATTTTATCAGGATTCAAGTGTGATCCATCTTGTGTTATGTAATGCACCAATGTATGCTATAGATGTGAATCCAGAAAGCAACATGCTATAAAATTGTTGTGAAGTCTAAAACTTAGACTGGGTGATGGAACAAAATATTAGACACACCTGTTAGATTGCAGCCAAACCTTAAAAAAGATAAAGATAACAACTGAAGTTACAACCTTCCGTTTTGGCATCTTTCATCACAAATGATATTGACATCTTCAAGATGTCAGTATCTGTTGACCAGTTGCTATTATCGTTTCCTACAATTCATATATAACTTTCTAACATATCATGAACCTTCGAGCTAGAAAATATTGTGCAAACTTGCTGGTTTTTTTTTTTCGAAATAAAAAGTGTAGAACTATATTAACTTGCTGGTTTTTCACAAGTTAAATCACTTCAGGTGTTGAAGTCAGCGGAGAGTTCTTGCTTTACTCTGATTTTTTTTCATGTTTATAGCAATGAAGATAGCTTTTGCAGGTACCTAACTTGATCATTTCAAAATTATTATATGACCTTTTGTCACAAATGGCTGTGGATAAAATTGAGGATGCCTTTCCTGAAGTAGTTACAATGTTTTAGGATCCCCTCGTCAAGGAAACTATATAAGATGGCCGTACTCTTGCTGAAACTACAGAGATTATTGGTGCAGAAGAGGGAATAGCTCCATAATAGAGGGATTACAATATTAAGATGTTATATCATTATGATCTTTTATGGATCATCAAAGATATGTAGTTGATTTAGGAAATTATTCTTAATTTAAGTTTATTATTTCTTATTTAGTTAAGAGTCCTTTTCATTCCATGCTTCCTATTTCATATTCTAGAAATCGTAAGATATCTAGAAACTGTGTTAATAGTTTACACTACTCAATTATTAGGAAGAATCTTATGAAGAAAACTTCATTGAGATTATCTCATGCTATAGTGCCTAAATAACCTTGTGATTTGGTTGTTTTCTTGATCGTGCATTTGTGGATTACTAGTCCCAATTGTTGTGGCGGATTGAATTTTTTTATACTTACATTTTTTAACTGTTATTCAGCTGTGCTATATCAATTATCTTGAGTGCGAACCACTTTATATGTAAAGACCTGCAACCTTAAAGGAAATAAATTATTATTTAAATGCAAAATCGAATAATAAAGTTAAGTTTTACAAAGTAAATTGAAATGCTCTATAGAACTACGGGAATGTCCCTTCTATATTTGTTCATAAAAAAAAAAAATAAATATTTTAAGGGTTAACCTCTACTAGCACTTGAAAAGAGTTCGGAAAGGAGTTCAGGAGGTGAACTAGTCACAACCCTCTTATTGATCGAGATTTGAATTTTGATTTTTTTGATCTGAAATGGTTAATAAAAAAGTGAGATACATTAACCCATTAAGAATATTATATTATTTACTGATACGGAAAATCGAAAGTTAGTAAAAATTAGAAAACAACTAATGGAGCATTTATTTTAAGTAAATACATTTAACTTTGAAACTTTTATTTCAATACTTACTGTTATGGTTTTTTTCCAAAATCAACTTATAAAAATAATTAACTAAATAATATTTCAATTTCATATATAGGATCAGCAATTATTCATTTTTAACTTACTTATTGGGACTCCTGAGGGTCTATAGGAATATCTCTCTACTCGTGAACTCAGTATTAAGATTTGACAATTAACCCGGTCGCTCCCATATTCTGTCTGGTAATGGGTGTCAAAAACATCATTGCTTCGATACTTCGTTTGGTATGTGGGTGAACCATATTTCCTAAAATTCTTTTGGTATGGGGCTTCTCAGCCCCGTCCGACTAAGGTAATGTCCACGACAAGATTTCCTATGTACTGAGTCCATTCATCATTTCTTAGGATGCCCAATAAGTTTTCGTTTATTTAAGTTCTCATCATTCAAACAACTATTAAAGCATACTAACGTCTCATTTCATATTCACTGATAAATTTAAACAGTATTTAAGCAAGCGATATAATTTATCATAACCAATAATCGGATAATCAGATAACTAAATAAACAATACAAGAGGAATCAAATAAACTAAATAATCGAAAAGACTATAAAAATTATCAATTTAAACATGCAAAATATGATAGTAAGCAATTTAGTCAGTACTGAAAAGTAAATAGGAAATAAGGATAAATATGAACTAATTGGTTTCGACTCCACTAGTGATCTATAATATTTTTAGAATTTTTTAAGATTTTTAACAGAACACATAATTATTAATTATTAATTATTAATTCTTAATTTACAGTAATAGAAAATATAGTGAGGGATCTTTATCCGAATTGATATTTCAAAACGTTGTACTATTTACTACGCCTCCTAACGGGTTCCAAGTTTCTTAAATTTTTCATTAAAGAATAAAAATACTCGTCACGTATCTAAACATTTCCGAAAATCTAAAATCAGTGTTAGAAGCTCATTTCGGCCAATTTTAGGGTTCCTGCACAGCGGCGCTGCTGTGCTCCAGCATCGGCTCTACCACCCACGGTGGTGGTTCGCTTCGGCCTAGCCAGCTTTGGTTGCCTTTGCCCGTTTTGCACGTATTCTTGTAGAAAAATACGTTAAAGGGTCTCGGTTGGCTAGAAAATTGAAAGAAACCGAACTTATCGGCGGGGGGTCTCCGGCTGCGATGGCTCTGTTAGTTCTCCTTCGCGGCTAAGGTTTCTCCTTCGGTTAACTTGCATAAAAAAAGACAGTGAACTCAATGATCAAAAAATTGTGTGAAATGAGAAACGAAAAACGGGAAGGGGCTCATCAAAGTGGTTTTAGAATTTCAGCCGTTGTAGCTCCGTCAAGCTTTGCCTGCGATTTTCGGCTCACTTGCGGTCTCTTTTGCTTTGATATGGCCAAAGGGATACTCAGGATTGAATTCTGAGCGAGAAAAGAAAAATTTTACATTTTTTGGCAGTCAACGATGGTTCTGATGCAACGGGGGTCGGGGGTCGATCTCCTTCTCTTGCGAGGGAGGTGCAACTAGGATTAGGGTTCCCCTGCAACGCGATGTTTAAATATCTATCCTGCATCGATCTAGACCATCCATTCGCGTTGACATGGAGCGAGGAGAGTCGTGTGATTGTTGTTTGTTTTGGCTGATTGTGTAGGCGAATCTGGATCGTTTATTACGACTGATCTCATCCGTCCGATCGCACCTAAAGAGGAAATGCATCTAAGTCGTTCATGCGTGCAGGATTAAACTGGAGCTATCGGATTGCTAGGCACGCGGATCGCCTGCGTGGCGCCGATATCAGCGTGTTTTGCCACGCGACGTGCTCTGCTTCGATGTAGCTGCTGACTAGGCCATCTCACGTGGCTGAACTTTCTCTTTTTGTATTTTTACCCCTATTCCTAATTTTTCTTTTAAAAACGCCACCCGAACACAAAATTTCACTAATTTTTTTCTAAAATTACTTTCAATTTCGTCTTTACTTTATTTTTTTAATAATTTAAATAAAATAAAATTAAAATAATATTTTTAATTATTTATATATATTATAAATATAAAAATTTATCTCGGACCAAATTCTGGGGTCAAGTACTACAACTCTTCCTCCCTTAAGAAAATATTTGGTCCCTCGAATTTGTCATCCTCTCACTTAGTCAAACAATTGGGGGGTACTGAGCTTTGAAGTCCGATTCTAGTTCCCATATAACCTCTTTCTGTGTGTGATTCTGCCATAGGACCTTGATGAAGAGAATTTTTTTTGTTGCGGAGTACCCTGCTCTTCTAGTCTACAATGCCTATCGGTACCTCTTTATATGATAGATTCTCCTAGAGTGAAAGGGTCTCGTGAGACAGGGTATACGAGGGGTCTGGATTGTATTTGCGTAGTATAGACACATAAAACACATTATGGACTCTAAGTAACTCTGGAAGTAGTGTTAGTCTGTAGGCGGACCTACCAATCCTGTCCAAGATTTCAAACAGTCAAATGAACTGGGGATTTATTTTTTCCTTCTTACTAAAATTGTTGATTCCTTTGAAATGGGTGACTTTAAGAAACACCCGATCATATTTCTCAAATTCTAAATCTCTCATCTGAGTGTTTGCATAACTCTTCTGCCTACTCTAAGCTGTCTGAATGTTCTTCTTGATTTTAACTATCTTGGCTGTAGTCTCCTCTACAAGATCTAGACCGAACAATTTTTTATCATTCATCTCTTCTCAACAGATCGGCAACCTACAAGGGCGGCCATACAATGCTTCGTACGGGGGTCATGCCGAGACTAGCTTAGTAACTGTTATTGTAAGCGAACTCTATTAAAGGTAGGTGATCATCCTAATGACCTCCGAAGTGTAGAATATAAGCTCGAAGCATATGCTCCAGTGTGCGAATCGTCTTCTCTGATTGTCCATCAGTTTGAGGGCGGAATGCGGTGCTAAGGGACAGTTTCGTCCCCATGGCTTACTAAAAACTAGACAAAAATCGAGAAGTGAATATTAGGTCTCTACCATATACTACTGTCACTGGAACTCTATGAAACCTGACTATCTTCTAGATATATATTGTTACTAGTTTGTTCAATTGGTAAGTTATCTTGATAGTCAAAAAGTGAGAAGATTTGATGAGATGATCGATAATTACCCAGATAACATCATATCCTGAGTGTACCTTAGGCAACCCTGTCACGAAATTCATTGTGATATGTTCCCACTTATACTCCAGAATCGGTAATGGGTGAAGCAACCTGCCTGAGCGCTGATGCTCTGCCTTAATTTGTTGATATACTATACACTTGGAGACAAAGTCAGCTATCTCTTTTTTCATCTCGTTCTACCAAAATCAGGGTCGCATGCTTTGATATATTTTAGTATTTTCGGGATGTATGACGAACTTTGAGCTATAAGTCTTTGTTATAATGTCCCTTTTCATTTCACTATTATCTGGAACATACACTCTGTTTTGAAATCTGAACAACCCGTCGGTAGAGACTCAAAATTCTAGATTTACTCCATGTTCTGCATCCTTCTTGAGAGCTATTATGGTGGAATTGGTTAATTAAGCTTCATTTATTCTCTGGATCAATTCGGGTTGGACAGTGAGGTGGGCCAAGCATGTAACTCTCTTCAAATCCTGAAACAGTATTTGTTATGCAGCCCCTAATACCCTGCATTCAGAAACTATTAAGTGAGCTAACATACTTGCACCCTTTCTGCTGAGCGCGTCGGCTACTACATTGCTCTTACCTAGGTAATACAAAATACTATAATCATAATCCTTGAAGAGTTCTATCCAATGTCTGTAAGGTATGTTGAGATCATTTTGAGTGAATATATGTTTCATCTTATAATCAGTATAAATTTCAAAAGTCTCCCCATATAAATAGTGGCGTTAGGTCTTCAAGACGTGAATAATGGTGACAAATTTTAAGTCGTGGGTGGGATAATTTTTTTCATGACTCTTCAACTGCCTGGACCCATAAGCTATAACATTCTCATACTGCATCAGAACACAACTCAATCCTAGGTATGAGGCATCACTATACACTGTGTATCCATCTATCCCACTCGGGAGAGGCAACACGGGTGCAGTAGTCAACTGCTTCTTGAGTTTTGTAAAGCTCCTTTTGCAATCTTCATTCTACTTAAACTTGACGTTCTTCTTTGTAAGTCGAGTCAATGGAGCGGCTAAATTAGAAAATTTTTCTATAAACCTGCAGTAATAATATGTCATTTCTAGAAAGTTACAAATCTTATTAACCGATGTCAATTTTTCCCAACCAAGTACTGCCTCAACTTTTTCAAGATCCACTAATACTCCATCTATTGATGTGATGTAGCATAGGAAGGTAGTCTACTCGAGTTAGAACTCACACTTGCTCAATTTTGCATATAGTTTATTCTCCCTAAGAATCTGCAAAAGCTGAGTCAGGTGGTGAGCGTGTT